ACACACGCACACGCACACGCACACGTGCACACACCATCCCAGAATAAAGTTACATCTTCAAGTTGAAACTACCTCTCTGATGTTTCTTCTAATGTACTTGAAAAGTGCCTCATTTACGACTTTTTAAAGATTTATTGTTATTATTTGAAATTATGTGTATGTGGAGGTCAGTGCCTCCAGAGGCCAGAGGAGTGAGATTTGCCCTGGAGCTGGAAATACACCTGCTGTGGGTGCTGGGAATTGAACTTGAGTCCTCTGGACAAACTGTTGAGCCACCTCTCCAGCTCCAATGTGTGACATTCTTTATCGTGTTTGTTATAAAAACTTAATGGAACAACTTCCGAATTGGAACATGGAATTTGGAGGTTCCTAAATGCTGTGTTCCTTAGCCATGGTCACTCATATTCTGCTCCAGAATAAACCATCTCTCAACCCATTTGAGGTAAGAGCTCTGTTTCTGCATTGACTGTTACCGCACCAAACATGGGGCTCTGAAAATAATATACTTTTTACCGGAGGAGTCACCTGAGTGGACGCATTCAGACCCCTGAATCAATGGAAACCGTCCCCACGTGGCCTGACCCAGATGCCCCACTCGGACTGGAGGCTTGGAGCAGGACACCACAACCTGACTATCCTCACAGTCCAGCCGTGGTGGGAGGGGCCACCCAACACCACGCCTTAAAGTGCTGTTCTGCACAGCTCTGAATGCAGGAGCATCTCTGAAAGCCTCTGAGAGGCGACATCCCGTATCCACAGATTGCAGGGGGCTCTTTCCCGGGTTCTCTCAGACCTCCCTTGGTCTGGCCAATGTTCATTTCTTTATTCTGAGCTGGTTATTTAAGTTTCCTGTTTGGTAGACCCCTTTCTGTTTTAGCTCCAACATATTTAGTTTAAGGCATCTGTTTTGTTTGTTGTTGTTGTTTGTTTGTTTTGGTTTTTCTAGACAGGGTTTCTCTGTGTAGCCCTGGTTGTCCTAGAACTCACTCTGTAGACCAGGCTGGCCTCAAACTCAGAGATCTGCCTGTATCTGCCTCCCTAAAGGCATGTGCCACTGCTGCCTGGCTTCCCTTGAGTGTCAACACTGCTCTTGGTATTCTTACCTGTCTCTGCTATCTGGAAGGCCAGCAGCACAGGCAGGGAGGAATCCGCTGGCTTCCTCCCTCACAGTGTTCTGAAGGAGAGGTTGACTTCTCTAACTTTTAAGGTCAAAATATGTAAATTTAAGCTCCACATGTTGCCTCTTTATAAGATGTTTGAAAAGGTAGCTAGGGAAATGGCCGTATGGGGCAGGTCTGTGTTCCCTAATGCAAGAGAAGAGGTTGGCCAGCATCACCAGATCTAGGTAAGGGAACCAAAGTCCAGATGGACACTGGGGCAGTAGACAATGCCTGATCCAAAACTTACACTTCTTTCATTTCTTTCTTTCCCTTTTTCTTTCATATACAAATATAATCAGGGGGATTTGGTTTGCCCTCACTGTAAATTAAAAAATATATATCTTAGGCTTAAATAACATTGAGAAAAACATTTTCATCAGCAAAAGCATCTCCCTCTGGGCTGTTTAGCTCTTAAAGGAGGAAGTGATAGTATCTTAAGTCTGCACGACAAAGGCCATCTTTTGATCTTCCATGCTACTATCTCAGTTTGGGTTTCTATTGCTTTTTCAGCTCACCCTCAGGTCACACTCCATCACTGAAGGAAGTCAGGCCAGGGACTCTCGAGGCAGGAGCTGATGCAGAAGCCATGGAGGTAATACTTACCTCATGGCGTGTTCAGCCTGCCTTATTATAGAACCAAGGACCCCTGCCCAGGGATGGAACCATAATAATTTCATTTATCAAGAAAATGCTCTGCAGGCTTGCCAACAGGCTATCTAATCGAGGTACTTTATCAATTGATGTTCTTTCTTCCCAGATACCCTAGCTTGTGTCCAGTTGACAAGAAACTAACCAACACAGCTATTAACCCTTTGTCACGTCTGGTGCTTGGAATTAAACCTGGATCCTCTGGAAGAGCAGCCAGTGTTCTTAACCTGTGAGCCAGATCTCTGTCCCCTTTCTCATATCTTAAAGATACAGGGACATAAACTTTCTACTTTTTCAATGAGTGCCCCTAGATTACATGTAATTGTGTCATGTACATCTGTGCTAACTGTTTTCATGTATTGTTTGTGTGGGAAACAATTTAACAAACTCTGACTACTTCATTTCTTAAATTCATTTTTATTGTGTGCTGAAATTACTATTTTTATTTTTGGCATTCCTAGTTAAAATATACATGTGAGGATTTACAACTCTCTTTTGGTGATGTATTAAAAAGCCTGATAATACTCAGTCTAGTGGCACACTCCTTTAACTCCAGCAGAGGCAGAGGCAGGTGGATCTCTGTGAGCTCCAGGCCAGCCAGGTCTACACAGAGAAACTCTATCTCGAAAAACTAAAATTAAAATAAAATAGGCCGGGCGGTGGTGGCGCACGCCTTTAATCCCAGCACTCGGGAGGCAGAGGCAGGCGGATCTCTGTGAGTTTGAGGCCAGCCTGGTCTCCAAAGCGAGTTCCAGGAAAGGCGCAAAGCTACACAGAGAAACCCTGTCTCGAAAAAACCAAAAAAAAAAAAAAAATAAAAAAATAAAATAAAATAAAAAGTCTGATAAAGGGGCTGGAGAGATGGTTCAGTGCTTAAGAGCACTGACTGCTCTTCCAGAGGACCCGGGTTTGATTCCCAGAACCTATGTAGCAACTCAAAACATTGGTAACTCCAGTTTCAATGGATCTGACACCCTCTTCTGGCTTCCTCAGGTACCAGGCACACAGGTGTTGTACAGACATACATGCAGGCAAAACACCCATGTACATAAAATAAACATGACACACATAATAATAATAAAAATTTAAAGGTCTGATAAGCACATACTACCTTATAAATTTGAGCGCTCTGAACATCTTAAAAATCTATTAAAATGATGTCTTTGAGTCTATTAAGGGTTTTATAAAACTTTAAAATTCTAATTATTTATATAAAACAACATTCATTAGAGTCATAAGGTAAAGATTTTATTTAATCTGTAAAATTTAGGTTATATAGGTGTGTGTGTATGTTTATATCTATATATAGAAAGATAAAGATTGCATTTCAAAACAGGTTCTAAATAACTGCATTAATTTAATTTAAAACTTCATTTCATTTATATAATAGTCATAGGCTCAGAAAATCATATTAAAATATTATTTTTTAAAAGAAATCTGTTTCTATTATTTGTTTTTATTTCATGTGCATTGGTGTTTTTGCCTGCATGTATGTCCATATGAGAGTTTCAGATCCCCTGAAACTGGAGTCACAGACAGCTGTGAGCTGCCATGTGGGTGCTGGGAATTAAACCTAGGTCCTCTGGAAGAGCAGCCAGTGCTCTTAACCACTGAGCCATCTTCCCAGCCCCCTAAATACTCTTTTTTTTTCTTTTTTTGAAGACAGGGTTTCTCTGTGTAGTCTTGGCTGTCTAGGAGCCACTCTGTGGATCAGGCTGGCCTCCAACTCAGAAATCCACCAGCCTCTGCCTCCAGAGTGCTGGGATTAAAGGCGTGTGCCACCAACTGCCCAGCCCAAAAACTCCTAATATAAAACTATCTCCAATCACAAACAAGACAACCATAGAGTATACACAACTGCCAATATGAGGGAGTACATCCATCTAGCTTTGTTTTAATGTGTAAATTTGTGGGGCTGAAGAGATGGCTTAGCTATTAAAAGCACTGGCTGCTCTTTCAGAGGTCCTGGGTTCAATTTCCAGCAGCCACATGGTGGCTCACAACCATCTGTAATGAGATCTGGTGCCCTCTTCTGGCAAGCAGATATATATATGCAGAACACTCATATATAAAAATAAATAAATAATTTAAAAAAGAAAAAGATGTAAATGTTGGTTGTTAAAATCTGTGTGCCCAGGACTGGGGAGATGACTCAGCAGTTAAGAACACTTACTGGTCTTCCAGAGGACTTGGGTTTGAATCACAGCAGTGCATGCTCTCACAACTATCTCTAACTTCAGTCCCAAGAGCTCTGACGCCCTCTTCTGGCCTCCACCAGCACTGCACTCATGTGCACAGACTCACAGACATACATAGACAAAAATACAATCTTTAAGGGGGGCGGGGCAGGTGGCCTATGTCTGTAACCCCCAAGCTGGGGAGGGAGAGGCACACAGCCTATGGAACAGTGAGCTCCAGGTTCAGTGACAGGGTTCTGTGACAATTTCCTCAGAACTGAAACCTCTCCCGGAGACAGGAGGCTTAAGAGCCACAGGAGGTAAACCAAAGATCCTGGGTCTGGGAGAACAAAAACTTGCAAGAGTCTGGAGGGACCCTCCCCAGAAAGTGAGGAGTACTGCTGGAGAAGGGCACCGGGGCGATAACTTGGGGAGGGGATAGTGGACTGCCAACTGACGCCACTCAGAGGCTCCGTTGTAGCTGTCGTCTGTGTTGGGTGGGCTTTGCAGTGATGATCTGCTTTTGGTCACCCTGCTCCTGCGAGTAACCCTTCACCCACACTCCTGTATGCAACACTAATAAAACTCATTGGTTCACCAGCTTGCACTTGAACTTTAGTCTGTCATGGGCTCCCATTCTGGGATGAATAGATGTGTGTATGTTGCATCTCCCCGGGAAAAGCCTAACACACACACACACACACACACACACACACACACACACACACACACACACACACACACACCACTAAGGAAAAGGAGATGCCCCACGTGTGTGACACAGCTGTGGCCATGTGACTTCCCTTTCTGAGTGATTCTCAAACCTCTAACCCATCCCAGAGCACAGACATCTTTGGCCTTGCCACCTAAAGACCTCCCCACAGGCGGGCCCCCAAATCTTCTCCCATGAGAAAAGACTGACGCCAACTTTAGAAACTCGGCAAGTTTTAAATATGTTAGCAAAATATTAACATTAAATATACATTATAAATAAGCCTTATAAATATAAAACTGATTAAAAACTGATAAAAAATCAATAAATTAGTCATGTCCCTCCAAGTAATTGCTCTTCAGCTTTTGAGTCCCCTTCCAGGAGGACCGGTTCAGCGTGTGAAAATTCCACAATACACCACCAGAGGGAGCAACAAGCAGCGAGGACCCAAGATGGGGCTTACAGGCTCTGGGAGATCTCCCATAAACCCACCCCACGACCGTTTGCACCGTATGTTCCCATTTACAGAGACTTTGATGTCCTCCTTATGCCACAGAGTCCAGTAGCTGACAGGCGGAGGGGCCTTACATAAGGACACACACACACAACCACACGACACAGCTTTCCACAGAGAACGCTGACTGACGTTCGGATACATAAAGTGTCCTGCCCACAGTCACGCAGAGACTCAGAGTTCTGAGCTCTCTTCCCTTGAACTCCTAGATCAGTGCTCCTTTTAGGACACCCTGCCCCTGTCGCAACTGTCAAACGTGAGGTCTCCCAGACGTCCAGGTGTCTGGTCTGAATGGGATGAGGCACAGGAGAGAGCCCTGGAGCTGACCTTGCCTTTGGAACCCAGCCACAGGGAAAGGAGGAAGTCTGGAGGCAACGGCTTCAAGTCATGAGAGGAAAGGACCAACAGCCTGGGGGTTCAGCCCAGCCGTGAGTCAGCTTGTGTCATCAGACCCCTGAATCAATGGAAAGCAGTCCCCACGTGGCCTGACCCAGACGCCCCACTCGGACTGGAGGCTTGGAGCAGGACACCACAACCTGACTATCCTCACAGTCCAGCCGTGGTGGGAGGGGCCACCCAACGCCACGCCTTAAAGTGCTGTTCTGCACAGCTCTGAATGCAGGAGCATCTCGGAAAGCCTCTGAGAGGTGACATCCCGCATCCACAGACTATGCCGTGTCCATCAATGTGTCCTCAGGCTACCGGGGCACCTGGACCCTGGACATGGGGCTCTGGCTGCTCCTGGAGGGTCTGATTCTGCGGGCTCCCTTGCGCCAGGCCTGGAGCGGGCTGTGTCTCGGGCTGTGTCTCCGGCTGCGGCTGGAGCCATCTCCCCACTCCCTGAAGACCCTCCCCACTGAGCTCATGAAGCAGTGGTAGCCCCACAGGAAGCGGCAGCTGTCTAGCTTGGCCTGGAAAACGCTTGGTGTTGTGGAAGTGTACGGTGAGGTCCCAGAACCGGCCTGTGTGGGCTCGGGTATCTCCAGGGTATGGTGGAGCAGCTGCGACATGCAGTAGACATTGTTTCTGATGCCTTGGATGTTCTGCCTGGCCCTCTCCAGCTCTGGAAAAGCTTCAATCTTCGTAAATTGCTGTCTTAAAGCACCCAGTTGGCGCCAGACTCTGCCCAGTGTGGCGTGGACAGTGTTCAGGAAGCGAGGCTTGCTCAGTGCCCGCAGGGTGTCCTCACTCGGGAAGGTCACAGGGTACTCTGTACAGGCAGCTCTGAGGGCAGATGTGTTCAGCCTTTGGAGGAGAATCTGAGGAAGGAAAAGAGTGAGGGATGCATGCCAGAAGCCCCCAAATACACACAGATGAACCTGCCTTTGCTGCCTTTGAAATGCTAGCTCTTGTGTGTTTCACACTAGATCTTCCCAGCAAAGAGACACAAAAGCCAAGAAAGAAGAGATAACCCAGAACAGCAGAGATGGGACGCAGAAATGGGATGGGAGTGGTGCCAGGGCCCCGGGGGTCACTGTGCACGCAGTGGATGGGGTGAGGGTCTGCAGAAGCATTGGACTAGTTCACTCACTACCACATCTGGGAATCTAAAACAAAGTGCCAAACCACCCAGACAGCAGGTGGCCACCAGGGAATGGAGTTGGGATCCAGGCAGCTCCACCTGCCCCTTACTGGTCCTCTCTGCATTCACTCTCACTAGTCCCCAAGATTCTCTGAGGCTCACGTGCCCTAAGGGCTGGCTGAGGCTTACATAGGGCTCCATGAGTGATCCCGTGTTCCCCGTGATGTTCGCCTGATTCTGCAGCTGGCTGAGGAGCTGTGGGGAAGAGCTGGAGCAGCCGCGTATGGCCTGTGCCATGCTCAGGAACAGGAGACTGAGGGCCAGACCTGGGGCAGAGAAGGAAGGGTATGTTTACCTGACTTGTGGCATGTACAGCCCTTATGCCTGGGGGTGCAGCTCAGAGCAAGAGCTGGGCATGCAGCAGGCACTAGGTCTGCACAGGACACCCCCTGAGGCTGCCACCTTCCCAGTGAGTCACCACACAGACCAAACAGGGTGAGGGGGTGGTGCAATTACCAAGCACGGAAGCTGGGTGTTTGCACACAACATCCCTGTCCTGACCTTGGGGCACGGGCCGAGGCGATGAGTCCACTATGAGACGTCTGGCCTCACACGAGGGTTGGTCTAGACCTAAGACTGACTGGTCAAGTCCCTGACTCCCATACAGACCTTAACATTCCATGTAGGACGGATGGAGTGGCCCTGGGTGCAGCCTTGGGCATCAGGTCACCTGAGTTCTGTTCACAGAGCTAGGGAAGGCACTCTCCACCCACAGGGCCTGCCAGTGCTGATACCCAGTCTACTGAAAGGTTAAGTATGTGCCAGAGAAAGTCCTGCCCAGGTCACACATGCCCAGAACTCTCCTTGACCTTCCTGCCCCTCAGTCAAGAAACCCCCACACACGGACACTCCAGGGACACCGAGACTCCCCAAGAAGGTTGTGGGGGTGAGGGTAGACTAGCACAGTTCCAGCTCGCTGGCCCCCACCCTCAGGCACCGGCAGCCACGTGGTCGGAAGGGGCCTGTGGTGCAATGGCCCGGAAGGCTGTGACACCATCCTTCCCTTCCTACAAACCGACCAGCCCCTTGGGGAGGGCCAGGAGCCCAGGCGTGACAACCACAGTCCCCTCCCCAACTTCCCCAGGTGTCTGTAGCTACACTCCCAGCGAGGGCCCACAGTGAGCACGTAACAGGTGCACGTGGACCAGTGCCTGTAGGGGTGTGCCCGCAAGACTGTGTGAAGCCCTGGGGTACCTGCCCCGTTCACTGGGGGTTCTGGTCTGCAGGTAAGCCTTCCTGTAGCGGTGTGAGGGAAGACCCCCACCCACATTGGTGGCTGTGTTCACTTGTCCCCATGGGGGTGTGGCTGTGTATGCAGATCTGAGGCCCTGAGGCTCGGCTGAGTTTCCATCTACCCTAGCTAGACCCTGGGAATTGAGTCAGGACAAGAAGAAGGGCCCATCCCAGGACCTGCTGTACTTCCTCACAGATCTCCTGCTACTTCCTTTTCTGCTCCTCTCCCACCTGCCTCCGGCTTCTCCAGCTTCTTCCCGCTCTATCCTCTTCCCTCATGCCCTGGGCACCAACACAGTCTCTCTCACCTCCCTCTGGAAGCCCTCCAGGAACACCACATCTCCATCTGTGGGTATTCTGGGGTCTCAGTGGACCCCTGACCTCCTCGTTCTCCCTCTCATGAGCATCATTCACCTGATGCCAGATCTACAGTTCCCAAGGGGCAGAAGGTGCCCACAGCAGCCAGTTGGCACAGCTGTGCCCTGGGATGGCAGAAAGGAAGGAAGTACTTACTGAGCAGTATTCTCTGTGGAAGCTGTGTCTGCATGCTGGGCGCTGGGGATCCGGCCCGTGCCGCTCTGGGGTGACACAGCTCGGCTGGGTGTCCTGCGGGCTGGCAGCCACTTTATGCCCGACAGGGCGATTGGCCAACACCTCGTGAGGTGGGTGGGGAGGGGGAGGGGGAAGGGCAGGCCTTCTGGGAACATGACCCCAAAAACCAAAGTCTCCACAGGCGGCCAATGGGCGCCAGGCGCCATGACAAGCCCGCTCCTCCTCCCGTGTTCTTCGAATTCGTTCTTCGAGGTCAGCCCCACGCCCAGGGATGATGTAAACCGCAGCCTCAGCCTTTTTGGGGTGTGCGGGCAGCACGGGGGTCCATGCCATCTTCAGTGAGTCAGCCCAGGGGTCAGAGCAGGAGCTGCATGCCAGGCCTCTGGGAGCCCAGGCCACCCTTGGCCCAGGAACCACCAACCTCACAGGACCCTGAGGTTTAGGGCTGAAGGGAGCTAGACATCTTCCTCGTTGAGTGCCCTTCCCACCCTCTCGCTTGGGCTGTCGGGACATCTGTGAGCGGAAACCACCAACCAGGCCCTGGGCACAGAGCCAGACTCGGGCCCCAAGAATCTAACCCTAGGCCAGCATCCTCTAGACCGGCTCCTCATTCCTTCTCTCTCCATTAGCTGTTCCCTACAGCCTTCCCAATCCCAGAGCCCCTCTCTGGAGACGGGATCCTCTGGGGAGACCTGGACGCTTGGAACAAGAGAGAGTAGAGACTAGGTCTCAAACCTTCTGACACGCTGTGTGGCCTGAGGCGAGTCACTTCACTCTGAGCCTCACCTGCGCAGCGAAGAGGAGAAAAGCATTTCTGGGTTTCACCTCACAAGGCCGCTGCCAGCATGGACATAAAAGGCAAAAAAGCCTTTGAAGGAAAAGAAAAGACAAAACTCGAATTCCAAGTACCGGTTTTCGGGGGACGGGATGCAGGGGGGCGGGGGAGATGGGGAAGCTGTGAGCTCAGAGGGGGAAGCTGGAGTGGGGGGGCTGCTGCGGTGGCAGTTGGAGACCAGGTTTCACTTTCTCTGAAAGATAGTGATCCATCATGGGTGGGTCTTCTGTTTCTTAGCACCCGCGGAACGTGACGACATTCAGCCCTGGAGACAGTGTCTCCTAGTCGGTTGGCTGCTTTGCTGTGGTAAACTGAGCCAGGCTGACCCAGGTCCACAGCCCGTGCTGGGAAGCCCCAGCATGCCTACCCAGCTAGAATGAGCATCCTTAGGTAGCCTGAGGAGGTTGGGTGTGGGTCCTGGGACTGTGGGGAACCTGAGCTGCTCCAGGTGCAGGGACCCTGCAGAAGGAGCCCAGCCCCGGCCATACCACCTGCCACTGGCCCTCATGTGTCCATTGTACAAACATCTTCACCCCCACTCCCCATCTTGAGGCACCCACCCACTCCCTGTGCCCAGCAGAGTGCTCGCCTTGGCGGCAAACCGTCAGTCTGGCCCAGTCCAGATCCTCTTCTTGAGGTCTTCATTTCCTTCTGCTGAATTTCTCACCTCTGCCCACCCCAGGGTGCTGTTCCCTAGGGCCCTGGACAGGGCTCCTTCTGCATTTCATATCCCTGATGTCATCCTGGGACAGCCCCTTTCCCCCTACACCCAAGCCCTGGCAGGGAGCTACCTCATCTCACTGTGGCGAGGAGACAGAGCGAAGCTCTGTGCAGCCCCGGGTCTGGCAGGAGAGCACCGCTGGACCACTGTGTTGGCAAGAGGCCCTGCATCACCTCAGCTCTTCCTTCCTCCCATCATGAATCCTGCTCTAGCTCCTCTATTTAAAGCAAGAGGTGAACTGCCCCACTAGAGGTCCCCCTGCGGAGCTGAGAGGTCATCCAAAGCTGGTCACAGTGGTACACATTTGTAATCCCAGCTTCTGGAGAGGCTGAGGCAGCAGTGTGAGCCAGAAGCCAGCCTGGGATAGACAGGGAGACCCAATCTCAAAATGAAATCGAACTGGGCATATGGTCCCAGCGCTCGGGAGCCGGTGGCTGACTCACTGCAAGTTCCAAGCCAGCCAGGGAGACTCTGTCTCAAATAAAGAAAGAAACTGAATTAAGTAAAGTAAAAGGGGCTGCCAGTGTCTGCCAAGGCGAGGTGCTGGCCGGGACACTTGATGTGTCTACCAAAGAAAAGGAAAGGAAGGAAGGAAGTAGTTTCCCTGGTGTCTAAAGGCCCATGCTCTCAGCTCTGGGGCCAATCTGAGTGTCGTGTGCACAAGCTCCTGAGACCACTGTCACCAAGGGCAAGACCCGTGTGTGCATATTTACTTCCTGGATTGTCATAATGGTGTACAGCTGACCCTTGGTATACACAAGTGACTGATTTCAGGGCCTCCTTCCCAAAGGTACCAAGATCTACCGAAGTCTCAGACCCTTTTAAAAATGGTGTAGTGGCCGGGCGGTGGTGGCGCACGCCTTTAATCCCAGCACTCGGGAGGCAGAGCCAGGCGGATCTCTGTGAGTTCGAGGCCAGCCTGGGCTACCAAGTGAGTTCCAGGACAGGCGCAAAGCTACACAGAGAAACCCTGTCTCGAAAAACCAAAAAAAAAAAAAAAAAATGGTGTAGTGTATGCATGGAACCTCCATCTGGCCTCCTTGGACCGAAACCTCCCTAGATGACATAATCCCCAGCACAAGGCAAATGCTTTGGCAAACAACCGTGTCGTTGGGGAAATCACAAAAAAGAACGTCTGCGCACGTTCCTTGCAGAGGAGCCTGCCTCAGTCCAGCTTCCTTTTCTGTACACACCTCTTTGCATCCTCTGATGTGGAGCCTATGGATGGACAAGTGGGGGGTACTGTCCCACAGGCTATACAGCCTCAACTGTGTACTTCCCACCACTGTAGAGCTAGACACTTGAGCCAAGCTGTCACCGGGGCTGGCTCTTGCTCAGGGACCTCTCCTTAGCTGTTTATTTATTTAGGCCAGTTCTCAACCGTGTAGCCCAGGCTGGCCTCCGACTCCCCCTGTAGTCCAGATAGGCCTCAGGTTCTCAATCCTCTTGCCTTGGCCTCTCTGGTGTTGGGATTATTGGAATATGCCACCCCATGTGGTTGCTCCTTGGCTTGTAGGTGGCCACATTTTCACTGTGTCCTTACATAGTCATTGACTGCTTCTGTATCTTCTGTACCCTGATCTCTCTGTGTGGTACATGCATGCCTGTGTACATACGAGGGTGGGTGCACATACGACTCGTGTCTGTGCTTGTGGAGGCCAGAGGTCATAGTTAAAGCATCGTTAAGTGTCTTCCTCGGTTACGCTCCACATTTGCCCCAGGCATTTCCGTTTCTACTCCTTACACAGTGCTGGGGCTGCAGGCCTGCACGACCACACCTGGCTTTTCATATGGATTCTGGGGATTTGAACTCAGATCCTCTTGCTTGCAAAGCAAGCCTTTTCCTGATGGAGCCATCTCCCCAGCCCCTGATTTCTTTCCTAATCCAGTCACACTGAATCAGAGCCCACCCAACGACCCTTTTTGGTTTAAGGGCCCCATTTCCCAATACAGTCACATCTGAGATACCGACAGTTAGGATTGTACATTATGACGCCAGGAACAGGCTCCAGACGGTAACAGAGGGGTCAGGATTGGAGGGTGAGACACCAGTGGAGGTCCTTGGTGCTACACAAGGCCAGTGCGAGTGGCCCAGAGGCCCAGAGGCGGAGCCTCATACCACCCAGGCAAAGCGTGAGGGAAGATGCGTCAGCGATTCTGGTGAGGTCAGCTCCTAGTGACGTCGCTGTCGCCAGCAGGAAAGGCTTGCAACAGCCAGTATAAATAGGATCCTCAACCACAGGGCTCGGGCCGTCCCCTCTTCCTGGGCCACGTCAGTCAGGTCCTCGTGATGCGGAGAGGAAGAGAGGGTGGGTTTGCTTCCTCAGAACTGCTATCTCCCAGCCTTTCCGGCCCACCCTCTGGCTGTGAGGGCTCTGCCTCTTTAAATGCATGGACAGGACCTGCCACAGCCTGAGGTGGGGTGCAGGAGGCTGCTCCATTGGGCAGAGAGAGTGGACCCCCACTTGCTGGTGGACACAGATTCAAGTTCCAACCTCTACTACCCATGAGCCTATTGTTCTCAACCGAGTCACATCCTCTCTCAGGGCCTCAGTTTCTCTTCCCTGTAAACCTCAGCAGCACAATTCAACAACAAGAAGCAAAAACAATTCTATTAAAAATGGGCAAAAAGTGTGGTGGCACATGCCTGTGATCCTAGCACTGAGAGGTAGAAGCAGGAGGATCAGGAGTTCAAGGTCAGCCTCAACTACACCTTGAGATCAAGGCAGTCTGTACTTCACAAGATCCTGGGGGTTGGGTGAGGTAGTGGAACTGGGAAGAGTGTGCTGGGCATGGAGCAGTCAATGAAGCCTGGATTTCATTCCCAGAACTCGCATGGAAATGTCAGGCATGGTGGCCTATGCCTGTGAACCTGGCAGCCGGGCAGCAGAAATGGCATCCCAGAGGTTCACTAGCCAGCAAAACTGGTGAGCTCTGGGCTAACAAGAGACCCTGTCTCAAAGGAGGTCACTGGTATTCCTAAGGATGACACTCAAGCTTGTCCCCAGATTCTACACACACACACCTTGGCAAAGGATTTGATCAGACATTTCCCACTGAAGAAAAAGGTACAGGAATGTCCTAGAAGCGTGTGAAAGGCTGCTCAACATCAGGAGGTCCTAGCGAGGTACAGAGCCAGCACCGTACCACACCGTTCTGGGATAAGTCAAGTGTCGGTGACG